ATTATTTTTATTGTGATATATTCAGCGGCGATATCGACAGCTCCCCAAAACATCGGGAGTCCATTTTTTCACAAAACAACACAATGCCAGTAAGGTACATTAGTTATCTTGACGGTCAGATTATCAGTCGCACAACTCGAATTTCAGCGGCACGTATCGGCCACGGCCTCCATCCATTAATTTAATCACAACATATTCATCAAGCAAAATAACCATCTTTTGTATCGCACAACATCTTACGTGTATCACGGTGTCATGTAAAATGGCCTATGCATAATACTTCTATAGACGTATATAAGCCACAAAGCAGCATAATATATACAAACAATGAGTCCTTTATACTGCAGAAGCATTCTTATTTTTAAATAAACGATTTCAGGAAGGCACATATATGCAATAATATCATGGAACCATGGCCTGCTTAAAACGTTCCTCGGCCAATAGAAACAAGGAATCAGTGCGGCTACGCTACTTGAATTCGGGAAAGACACTCAGGCACAAATATTTTTCGAACACAAATCTTGGCTGCTAATATTAAGTCTGTTTTTATTACACCACATATAAAAATGTTTTTCACGAAATTGCATTTTATTGTTTACAGTAAATCGAGTTTCGCTAGAATTAATACGTAAAGAAGCCAGCAAAATTCAGTAAACTAGTAGAATCCCATCCAAGAATAGCCTGAAATTATCCTAAAAATGAAACCCACATAATGATAAGAAGTCCATCTATATCAAAAGAACGTAAAGCGAAGAACTCGGCCAGAAGTCGAACACCCGAACATTCATCTGTGAGATCAACATCCACTCGACTAATCTAATGACTTAGAAACCCAGCAGAAATATTATGACAGATTTTTCAAAAAAAGTTAAGAGCCAAACACTACAGATCTTGCAGCAAAAAATCATATTAATCAAATCAAAGTCAAAAATTTTTTAAGTATATGAACATATCAGAATATACGAGGCGATTTAACTTGATGTATGAATGTATACATTAGCGTTTATCGTATTCAATGGAATTTCAACATTTTCTTTATTAGACTCATAGCCATGGCAATGGAGATGTACCGTGTTTACAAGTTTCTACTTAGAAATGATATATGCATATTTTACCTGCGTTGTCAAACTCAACACTCTCTGTACAAGCTCTTGAGTGTCTGCCGGCCTTTTAAGAAACAACTTTACTATTGCCGTAAGCAACTGGAGCTGCACCTATAAAAACAGCGATGAACACATTCAAATATAAACAAAGAAAAAATTCTTAAAGAAAACCGACCTGAGTATTCTCGTCGTTGAAACTTTCCAAGAAACTTTCCAGCAATTCATCGGCGTTATCAATTCTTTCGGCATATTCTCCGATTATCCATATCATAGATGCTCTAAAAATGAAATGAAAACAATCTTCTTTCATGGGAGAGATTAATTCTATTTCACGGTCTTCATGTTTGATAAAGATTCTCTGAAGAACTTAAAGTACAAGTGTCCACAATTGTACATTGATAACGAACCGATTATGATCCCGAAAGTCAGTAATTTATGTCATTAAATGCAAATGCGAAGCACTCGCGTAAGAAATATGAAGACCGTGGATGTTTTAAACAGTGACATTTAAAACATACCTAAAATTATATTACATATTGCATACGCAACGCCGGCATTTGCGGTCCCAAGCCCGGATGAGAAAGGAGGAGGGTTGGAGACCATGGCAAGTCTCCGTAAAATTCAGCCACC